AATTTCCAATACTGGAAGTCCCATTAAGGAAGCTGGGCAGTGTGTAATGACTCCCCACCCGGCTTCCTGATTAGCTGGGAAGACGGTTGGCGTGTAATGACTCGTTGTCTGGCTTCCTGAATAGCCAGCTCCATGCTTCCTCACCACCAGGTGATGAGAAAGCATGGAGCCGACTTTCTGGCCAATCAGGAAACCAGGGGGCGGGTAATGATTTGCCGCCTGGCTTCCTGATTGGCCAAATTCCCGGCCAATCAGGAATCCGGGTGGCGAGTCATTACATGCCTTCCGACTTCCTGAATTGTCCAGGAAGCTGGCCCCATGCTCCCTCGTCACCAAGTGACGAGAGAGCATGGAGCATGCTTTCTGGCCAAATAGGAAGCTGGGTGGTGAATCATTTCACACCGTCTGGGTTCCTGATTGGCTGGGAAGCCGGCTCCATGCTCCTTTTGTCACTTGCTGATGAGGAAGCATGGAGATGGCTTCTGGCCAGTCAGGAAGCCGGGCGACGGTTAATGGCTCGCTGCCTGGCTTCCTGATACTGGAAGTTCCGGGATCGGAATAAGTATAGGGAGCATTTGGGCGAGTTCGAGTTACGATTGTCTACACCTTTTCTTACCCCGCTTTAACTTTGTCTATCACTGCTAAAGGTTAAGAGTATAAATAGTAGGAATGTTTTAACAGGGCTGTCATATTTCAGTTCTTGATGTCAGTCTGCTCTTGAATATTTTTGGTCAGATGAAAAAATTGCTTCTAGTCAACTTAAATTCCATGATCTGGGGAAGTATTATTTCCCCAGATAAAAAAAAAAGTTAGTCACAAGTGGAAATACATCTTTTTATGAAGGTAACAGTACCTACTATGTTGGATCTGTCCAGGGCCAACTTTTATAAGAAATACATTATCTCAAGGCTATTTAACATAATCAAAAAATAAATTAATAAGTAAAGATCCGACCATCAGCATAAAAAAAAAAACCCGAAACCCAATAACCCCTGACCCAATTTTAAGTATGCCAAGTATGCAGCTGATATCCTCATGGCTAGGAGGGGATGCAAAAAACACTCAAAAACGGAGAACCAGGGGCTTATCATGAAATACAGCAATAGAGTCTAATGAGAGATGCATCATGGTGCAGAAGATGAATGCCTTGATGAAACTTGAGTCACTCCATGGTAGGCTTTGTCTCTTGGGTGGACCAGAACTGTGAAAGCTGTTCCCAAAAAAGGCAAGTGAAAGACAAAGGACTAATCACCAGTATTGCTTGTGGGTTCCTTGCAGTCGATCTTGTCATAAAAACTTACCATGCTTTGTTCTGCACTCTGTAGAGGACAGGCAGGGCCAGATTTCCCACAAGGCCAACCAAGGCCCAGCCTTGGGGCAGCAGGGAGCAGAGGGGCAGCAGGGGTGTGGAATTCTTATCTCCCGATGCACAGGACATGCATTTCCGGGCACCAGGCGGGTAGTTGTTTTCTACATTTAGCCCCGCTTTGGGAAAGCAGAACTAAATGTACAGCGGGGAAGCCGCTGCTTGTTCTGTACAGGTGATCTCGGCGATGTCACTAAAATCACTTGAATGCAGCCTGCAGGTCTGCCATTCTCCATGGGGGGGGACGGGGGGTTGGCGGGTAGGAGGGCGCATTGAGGAACCTGGACTGAGAGAGTAAATTCGGGCCTGAGGACAGGACTTTACTTAATGACTGTTAAGATGATGACTGATGTATACAAGTAAATAAGAAATCTTTTTAGATGTATCTGTTTTTATATTTCTTATACCGGTCTTGTTACCCCAGCAGTCTGTTGGGGTAACAACAACACCTGTATCTAAGAAATAAAAAAAAACAGATACATCTAAAAAGATTCTCATTTACTTACATACAGCATATGAATGCTGTTATTGCACTTCACCTACAGTTCTCCTTTAATTATTTTATAATCCATCAATATTTGCACTGTGTGACCCAGATTTGGTCTCATAGTTGGCCCTCACATTTGTACAGTAGTTGTCCTGTGTTTCTGCTCTACTTCCAAATCAATAAATGTTATTTGTTAGTTGATATTTAATATTCGGCGTGTCCAAACCCAATGCCATTTCTACATTTGATAATTGCCGGGCTTCCCAGACTCAGTTTGCCGTTTGTATTATCTCTAAAATTTGCTTTATCTCCCCTTTCTGCTCTAGCAAACTGCAACGATCGCAGTGACATTTCAAACAAATGGATTTGTTAGACGGCCAATTTTGTGTACTTGAAAGCCTATCGGGCCAATCAGGACGCGCCTTGTGGCTTTCTCAGAACCACATAGTCTCTATCGAATCTCATTCTCGTCTTTCTTCGCGATTCCTTTGCACGGGTCATCCGAATTGAAAAAAGAACAGTTCTACCTGAGCCATGCTGCCCGCTTATCTATTCGGCTTTATTTGCTTATTTGCAATACTTCATTTATCAAATGGATCTGTAAGTATTGTTAAAATTACTTTTTTAAAGGGAGTTTTTTTTTAATTTTTATTACAACATTGTTAACTGATTTATTTGGCACTGATGTTTTTACTGCTTCTTTCAAAGCTCCTTTGGTGAAAAACAGGCAAATCATCTTTGGTTGTCAGCCTGTAGAAGTGAAGCAACTGGAGGACTGCAGATGACGTACCTTGTGTTTGACTTAATGCAGCTGCGTCAATGGAAAACTATTGTAGTGCAATTTTGTTTAGCGCAAACCTTGTTAAAGTTTTGGGTTGGACATATATTGATATATTGGTTGACAGGGTTGTTTGTCTTCTTCTTCTTATTTATATATACACTGAGTGTCCATATTATTATGACCACCTGACGTTTGTAGGCAAATTAGCTATAATTTGGCGCTGAAGTTGCTAGAGGGACCAGACCATTATAAATAGGGAAGCAGGTTGTTTACCACGACAGTAGAAGTGATTTGTTTCTGAAGATACGGGGAAACAACGCGATTTAACAGCCTTTGAACGTGGGATGATTGTTGGCGCTCGGAGCCATGGAGCGAGTATCAGCAAAACAGCAGAATTCGTTACATGTTCAAGAGCAGCTGTTGTTAAAGTGTTTAAAGACTGGACTGTCAGCCGAATTATATTTCTTTAGATTTAATGTGCGTGTGAATTTATGCACCGAAATAAAAGCCTCAAATTTATTTAGTTTTTTATAGGAGCATATTTTAAACCTTTATCTAAAAGCAATAATTCTTCTGAACTAAGCGCAGAAGAACTTAGATTAAAAATGCCTTCTTTTGTGAGTGATTTTTTACTTACCTCATAGTTCTCCTTTTAAGAGTTGTTAGATTCTCTCTATAACTTTGCAGAGAATATGATCATGCTTCTGTTTGGTTGAAGCCATAGTCATGTGATCTGCCATTACAAGTCCAAACTATTTGTCCAAAGGCTTCTGAAGATCTGATTCTAAGGGACCATTCACACCACCCCCAGATCACCTGCAGACCAGATTGTTTCTGGACCTAAAATGCATCCCAATGTTTCGCTATGCTCTTCTTGGCCTCTGATTACACCATCGCAGTCAGTTCCAGACCAGACAAGAAAAATACTGCGTGTTACATTTTGTCTGGTCTGGAACTCACCGGAACGCGCACAAACGCGTCCAAAATGTGTCAAAAACGCACTGGAATGCAACGGAATGCACCGCAATGGGAAAATTGTTTTTTTGGGGGGCTGGTTTGGATGATCTCTTCACCCCTGGACTTCCTGCTTCTGTGGAGAGAGAGATTTGTGAAGATAGGAACCATGATAGGTGAAGAGGACACCAAATTATTTGTAGAACTTGTGGAAGCCTGCCCAGAGATGTATGATCCGAGGCATGGGCAATAGACTTGTGCGCCGTCAGAAAATTAGTTACGTTTCGGAATATCCGTTATTTCGTAATTCGTGTCCGAAACTCAATTTGGATTCGTACGAAATACGAATTTTCGTTAGTTTTGTCACATTTTCGTAACTTTTACGAACATTCGTTATGATGAAGTCAAAAAGCAAAAATACCTTTGTTAATATTGGAGTCGATGGTAGTTTTCTTTTTTTATCCAAAATACGAAATTCCGTTAACTGATTTCGGATCCGAATTTCGTATTTCGGATAAAAAAAAAAAACTACCATCAACTCAAGTATATTAACAAAGGTATTTTTGCTTTTTAACTTCATCATAGCGAATGTTCATAATGGAACGAAAATACGTTAACGGAATTTCGTATTTCCTGCCTGTATTTTAATGCAACCCTCAGCAGCAGCGGATCCGAATTTCGTATTTCGGATAAAAAAAAATCTTGTCATGTTGTTCAACCTCATTTACAGGGGTAATATTAGTTCCTGTTTCAACGAAATTCGTTAACGGAATTTCGTATATAATTCGGAAACTGCAATTCGGATTTCTGATGCTTCCGAATTTACGAATTTCATGGAATTTCGATTCGTAACGAAATGAATCGCACATGTCTAATGGGCAATATAAGAACAATAATAGGAAGATGGACAAGTGGAGAGGTATTGCTGCCCAGGTTTTCCCCGGCTATGATCATTTGAGCAGCTCTGAAAAGAACAACTGTGCTAAGTCTCTTATGTGCAAGCATTGTGCTGCTCTTTTCCTGGCTATCTGTAGGTCTTGTAGAGGTCCCATTGCAAGACCTAAAATTGAAAGTCTAAAAAAACACAGCAAAAATGCGTCAAAAACACGGCAAAATGCAACGCAGTGCATTCCAGATCTGGTCCAGAAAATGGTGTGAACCTGCTAGGCTACCCATCAACATATTGTCACCCAACCAGGCTAATTGGTGGACACATTGCAACCTCGGTAGAAACCTGACTACGGAGAATTGTCTTGTTTCTCTATGATTCAGCAGGCCACAGGTGTGTTTGCTTGGGGCATACAAATGCATTTGTTTTTGAAAATATTTTTCAAAAGGAAAGAAATGGGACTAAAAAGAAGCATAACAAAACTATTTAAAACTGCTAATGCCGCCTTTTATTGTTTTTACAGGCAAGTGACAGCAGTGACAGCAGTAACAGCGGTGAAAAGGTAACAAAATGAGAGCAAAACTTAGACTTGAAGAGAAAAATGTTGTTAGGTTCCCCCGGACAAATTTTTGAGTGTTAAATATTCTGTAATAATTGTGCTTTAGAACAGGCCTTCATAAACCTTTTCCACTCGTGACCCCTTTTTGGCCGAGGAGATTTTTATGTGACCCCAGCGTCGGATGGTGTCTCTCACCTCTATCCCCCCAGTGTCGGTCGGTGTCTACCCCCTCCCCTAGTGTTGGTCGGCGTCTCTCTCCTCCTCTCCCCTGTAGCATCAGTCAGTGTCTCTCTCCTCTTCTCTCCCGCAGCAGTCAGTGCCTACCCCCAGCGGTCAGTGTCTCTCTCCTCTTCTCCCCCTAGCATCGGTCAGTGTCTCTGTCCAGCATCGGTCAGTGTCTCTCTCCTCTCCCCCCCC